TTGAGTATCAGGGGATCCTTTCCCTCTGCAGCCTCTGGGCTGGGGGGCCACAAATGGTGCAGCCAGGGTCCTTCTCCCCCATGGGCACTCTGCAAGTGCGTTTTGTTGTCAGCAGTCAAAATCTTGTAACTCCTTCTGGCTTGGAAGGGACATGGATGATCCCTCAGTGATGTCAGATGCCATCATCTGCAGTTTTCACGTGACTCCATATAATCTGCTATATCTTAAATACGTATTTCAAAGTGTATGGATACTTTTAGTCATTCTTTAGCAGACTTACAACCTCTTCGGCTCTGCATGTTAAGAGTTGGGGCATATATTTCTTGTCCCCAAAATGCAGTGGTTTTGTGGAGGACCTTATATTAGTAGTAAATCATATAACTTTGTTATTTTAATTCAAAAATACTGGAGGCAGCTAATCTAGCTAGTTTATATGGCAGCTTGGAGAGGGTCATTTTAATGCAATGTATGTTCTCCTCTATCGTATTTCTGCCTGTCAGCTCCCAGTGAAGTGAATTCATCTTAGACCTCTAAATTTGACAAAACCTTCCCCACCATGACTAAGACAGGCTTCCAGTTCTGATCTACCATAAAAGGTAATTTTCAGAGGGAGGGACAGGGCATCTTCTAAGACTTGTCCCTACCAAGTGCCATAGGGCAAAGCAGTAGAGCTGAACTAGAGCTAGGTGTATAGGAACGTATACGCAGACAAAAAGTGTGACTTCTTTTCTGTGCTGTGTGGTATGTATTTCGTGGAACCATGATAAGTAAGGAAGCAATCACAGTGCTTTTTACTGAGCAATACCCCAGTCCTGGAGGGCAGCTGAGCGTTACCCTCCCCTCACGCAGTGAACCTGGCAGAAGCTGTGCTCTCAGCCCCTATTTGCTGGGCAGCAGGACCAAGCATCCTATCTTCTTGTCCATGCATGACGACCAAATCTGTCATAACAACTCACATGTTTGCCCTTCTCAGTTTAAAAGACATGGTGGAGTTCAGTGCCTGTGCCTCGGGTCTGCCGTCCTGGAGGTTTTGGTGCTGCAGCCTGCTGTAGTGGTGCACTCATATAGCTCATGGGGTAACCTGCTGACCTTTCGGGGGGCTTGGCTTCATGTGAGAGAAAACAGGAAAAACATATTCTCTATAAAAAGACCAACCACATTATAGGAATGGTTTTCTCTGTGTGCAGTAAGTACGTTTTCATGGCTAAAAAAAGTTAACCTGTCCACAGTAGCTCAATGTGGTATTGGTGTTGCACACTGCTGCTTTCCATTCTGACTGCTGGTGGCTTGACAGGCAGCAGCACTGCTGGAGGGCAGCTGTTTGAACATGGCTTTGAAAATGTTAATGTAATTTCGTATTATAGTAAGTCATGCCCATGCTGATTTTTCTCCTTATTATCATGTTCTGCTCATGTCTTTCTCAGTTCCTGAACAGTGAGATACACTAAGTGCAGAGCATTTTAATGGAAAATGTCTGGGCTCAGTTTGGTGGTTCTTAAAACAGGGTAGCCCAAAGTTAAGACAGTTTATTTTTGTTATGAAAATTCTCCCCCTTGGATTATTTCTAGTGAGGTTAAAGCATCTGCTTACAACACCATTATATAAAGAGTTGTTCCAAACGCATTTTGCCAGTGCTGCCAGGGCTGGGATGCTGAAATGGTAGGAAGGTGCAGCTGGGAGCTCTTTGTACTGTGCTGCCATTGAGCTCCCACTCTTTGGTAGCTGTTTATAGGACTTGGGCTTAGCTTCTAGTGATTCACACTACTTCTCTGTGTGCAGTCAGAATTAGTTCCATTTATTTCAGTATCTGGAAAGCCATTTTTTTTGACACGTAGATTTTCAGTGTCCATTTGCGTATGTGTGCTGTTGCAGTGGAGTTGCAATGAAAATCCCTTTGCCATGTGTGTTGTGTGTTTGCCACAAGAGCATCGTTATGCAGCACGAGCCCACTGCACTCTAATACTTTAAAATAGCGTTACAGTCCACACACGTGCTGGAAAAATCGCGGTATACGCAAAGAAGGGACACCTTCCTATTGCTCTTAGCTGTGAACAGGCAGAAGTGAAAGCATACCTAGTCTCCTACGCAGCCAGGCGTTAGCGTAAGCAGGAAATTGATTCAGTTAACCATTGGCGTGCTCTTGCTGTCACAAAAAAGCACTTTTTCCCCTGATGGTTTCCCTCTGGTTTCAGTTCAGAGAGCAC